AACTGCTGCGCCCTGAGGCTCTCAATTGCACCTTGTTAATTTGTTTCGGTTAACTGCCATTACTTTGTGATTTTTCTTACATTCACATTAAACAACCAACAGGATTCTGACCTGTGATGGAAAGTCATTGTGTGTAAGTTATGGGCTGAGGCCCTTAGGTAGATGAAACTTCCTGGAAGGCCATTAAGCATAAGCAGTATTTCTTTCAGAAGTTTAATACTAATCTTATAATTCTCATGCTTACACAAACTCTGATACATTACTGCTCTGAATTCCACTGTCAATATAGCAATGGAGCATATCAGGTTCTCTTTTTCCAAGAAGGCTGCATGATTTGTGCCAGACAGATGGTCATTGTGCAGGCCTGCTTCATTCTTTTAATTATGATTCAACTGATTGCCATTTCCTTCGGTTTGGAACATCCAATAAGCTGTTTCTTAATTGATCATCGACTTCCTAAAAATAATCACTAAGAGAGAGGAAGGACAATGTATTGCTTCTTTCCCATCTCTCCCATCTAAACTCTACTTTTTAAAATGTTCTGAGATTCTAGAGAAACAAGTCAGAAGGTTGGTTGAATATGGGCAGGGGAGCTTTAGTTGAAGCTCTAAGGAGTGTAGAACAAGAATCTTAGGGTGTGATTACATGAGAGAATAGATTGCATTTTGGACTGATTGTGGAATGGTCTGGTGTGATCTAGTTCCTGATGATCACATGACATATAGGGGATTGAACTCTGACCTGACCCAATCCGTGCCCAAGATGGATCTTTTTGGTCCAGCAGTAGAGCTACTACTTTTGGAGACGGGGTGGAACGATTCCCCGACAGACAGAAGGGTTTGCCCCTTGCACAGTGTGTCTTTCCAGTGCAGTCAGACACACACCTATTCTGACATCTTATTACACTCAAACTGGAGAGGAGAATGGAAAAAAATATTTGAGTCAGCAAGTGATATAATACAAAAATAAGCATAATCCCAGAGTCATATCAAGCAAAAACAAAATTAAAATTAAAAAGACAAAAATATACTGGAATGTGAAAGACTGTTACATTTTAATGTGAGCTCTTGTGGACAAGTCCACTTCTTCAGACTATGAGGTGGAATACAGTACTATTAATTCCAGACCAGAAAATTTTTTCATTGTTCTATCTCACTATTTCTTTGACTGTATTTTGGGGGAAACTGTATTTTCTTCAGATGCTAGCAAACTTGCTCAGTGTTCACAATTCATGTTCAGCTATAGAATAATCTCTTAGTTCATGCAGAGCATTCATGAGACTCACTCCACAGTAGTCCAGACCCTTCACAAATGTGTTTGGATCCTAATTTTTTTTTCTCAGAATTTTCTTAACACGCAGAGATTCACCAGCAACAAAGTTCACAGAAGATAGCCTTTTTTCCTGAAGGTAGAAAGTTTGAAGATTCCATTTGTACCCCAAGTAACCATGGAAAGCAGATCTGACTTAGTATTGTCTAATAGGCAGGTTCTTTCTATGACTTTGGCATCATCAGGTGCCAAAAACCTAGCTGTGCTGAATGAATGGCTTCTTGTAATCATGGATGTGTCATATTGTTTCTGACTTTGGAGTTAGGGAAGGAGGGAGAAAAATATGTGAATTTGTGTATTGTGGTTACAAAAGATGTGAGCTCTGAAACAGAAGTCTGTGGTTTAAATATTGCTTTAGCCATGACTGCTATAGAGCTTGGTGCACATGTAACATCATTCAAGCTGTAGAGTTTGAAGCAAGTTATGAATCTGTTTTGAACTGCAGTTAGAAACACACTAGACTTCATATGAATAGGGATTAACAGTAGTTTCATACAGTATAGTGCTGAAATCCAGTGAAGCTGGTTGTGGGGATGGGAATCGGTGCATGAGGAAGCAAATAAGGGAAAGGAGCCTGAGATCTCATGGTCCATTCCAGTTACCTGAGACAAGGGTAAGTATAATTGCACCAGGAACTCTGTGACCTTAAAGAAGCTAGGTAAATGTAAAGGTTCCCTTTGACATTTTTAGTCCAGTCGTGCCCGACTCTAGGGGTAGTGCTCATCCCATTTTTCAAGCCGTAGAGCCAGCGCTTGTCCGAAGTCAGCTTCTGCTGTCACTTGGCCAGCGTGACTAGGGAACGCCGTATTACCTTCCCACCGAGGTGGTACCTATTTATCTACAGTGGGGTCTTGACTTGAGAACTTAATCTGTATTGGAAGGCGGTTCTCAAGTCAAAAAGTTCTCAGGTCAAATCTACATTTCCCATAGGAATGCATTGAAAACCATTTGATCTGTATCTGCTCTTTTCCGTCCATAGAAACTAATGGGAAGCTGCTATTCCGCCTTCAACCACTAGAGGGGGATATTTTGTTCCTTTTTTTTCTTAGGTCAAGAAAGGTTCAGGGAAGGCAGGAAAAATACAGTCCAGGCAGTACAGTACCAGGCAGTCCGAAGACTGTCTCCCAATCCACTCTCTAAACGCTGGGAGGAGTGAGGAAGCAGACAGGCCCCCTTTTCACTGGCCAACAGTTAACTGAAAGTTCAAATTTTGCACTTTCCCTGCCTCCCTCGTGTTTTTTTTCAGTTCTTAACTCAAATCTAACTATGTAAGTCAAGTCAATATTTTCCTATGAGAGCGGTTCTTAAGTCAAAATGTTCTTAACTCGAGCCATTCTTAAGTCAAGACCCCACTGTACTCACACTTGCATGCTTTTGAACTTCTGGATTGGCGAGGAGCTGGGACAAAGCGACAGGAGCTCACTCCATCACGTGGATTCAATCTTACAACTGCTGATTTTCTGACCCTGCAGCACAGGCTTCTGCGGTTTAGCCTGCAGCGCCACCACGTCCCTTTAAGGAAGCTAGTGAAACAATAAACCTTAGAAGGTGTAATGGAGATAACACAAGGATGATTTAAAGAATGTATGTGAAACATTCTGAACCCCCTAAAATATATAATTTTAAGTTCATTATTACAAGAAACCAGGGTGTGTCAAAATAAAGAAGGGTATAAAATATAAGAAATGGTTCCATCAGTTAGTATGTTGTATGTCTGTAGGTTTCAATAGGACAGGCTTTGCTATTTTATACAATGTCTGTTTTTTCTCTTTGCATAAGATACATGCTAAAGCTACAAGAAGTATAGATTCTTCTAAAATGTGTTTGCTTGAAATCAGTAAACCTGCCATTTCCTTGAATGAGTGTTGATTAAAAAAAATCTTCCATAGAACTGTGTTCTGGCTAGAGTTACAGGCAGGGGGAGAAGCTCAGGCTATTCACAGCTAGGTGCATTGTTAAAGCTCATACTATCACTTTGACATTTAGAGGCAGGACTTAGTGTCTTTGCAAATTCTTCTTCTTCGTATTACTTCGATGTCTCTAGGCTCCAACCATTTCACAAACCATAATATTTTTTAGTGAGTGATTGATCTGTATTATGTGTCCCAGCCATCAGAGAAATCTTGAGATGTTGCTTGTATAAACTGTAATACAATCTGACACTGAGCATTTGGTTACATGCTTTCATAGACCTATTGGCGATACACAATCCTTCTGGATTTGGGCATAAGGCTTATCTGATACTTTCCAAAAAAAGCCCCTCATTTTCTCCCTTTCCCACTTAAATAACTCAACACATCTGGGGTAACACTGTAGAATCATTGTCCTTTCAGTTCCCTTGCAGCTCATATTGCTACAATATTTCCTTAAGTATCCAATTACTGAAAGGGCAAGAAGATAGCTCCCAAAATGAAACTACGTATTCTTAAATAAGCTGCAGAAATTACTTCCTAGGCATCTTTTAAAAGAAAGCATTACTTTTAATTAATATCAGTTACAAAGGTGTTTGTGTGTGCCTGCGTAAAAAGAGACAAAAAGTGCAGTCTTGTGCATGTTGACATTGAAGAAAATCCCTTTAGGATTAACACAGTTTTTTTCAAGCAAGAGTCTGTAAGATTGTAATTAGGTTGGGAGAGGTTCAAAATGAATCATAATGGTCACCAAGAATTTTGAGAGATTTCTATACTTGTTGCTTTTCCATCTTTTAGCTTGGTGGGAATAAGCCAGGGGCTGCATCTTCTATTTCCCCACTGTCTCTCTAGGGAGAAGAGCCAGCCTCCGTAGTTTGGGCAGGCTGTATAGTCCTAGAGCGCCACCAAAAGAAGGGACTGGTAAAACACTTCTGACTACTGTATATGGATGAAACCCTGGTGAGGTTTGCTATACGTTGGGATTGACCTGATGGCACATAATTAATTATATTCTCCATTCAGTTATAAGAACAATAACACTTGAAATTTAAGTCTTTTAATGAATAACAAATGAGAAAAATCTTTATGAAAAAGAGAGAGGGAACCAGATACAGTTCCATAATACAGAGGAGATTAATCTTTGGAGAGAGTAAACCTGTGAGCAGGCAGGATAGCCTTGGGATGTGCCTCAGTAAATCCTGGAATTCTGTTTCAGTCAAGGAAGTTCACGGACAGAACTCTGCTTTCATCAGTAGTTCTAGTTAGACTGCGGTTTACTTTTACATTTTGAATCTGATTCAACTTCTTTGGTTTTTTTAATGTGAAATTTTAGAATCTTAAAGATAATAGTTTGCTAAATATGATATATGGATAGTCCCAAGCTGGTGAAGGTTTCACTGCCTGTCTTGGTACTGAGCCTCAGGGCTTGCACTTGACTTTGAGTGTTTCCATTGTATGAAAATAAATTAAGATTTAGCTAGAATCATTTTGGGGTGTGTGTGTTCCTTTTTGCATTAAGCATATGAATGAATTTTTAACAATTCCCTTAGAAAGATATTGTAACATGTACAATGTATGCTTGAAAAATATTACTTTGCATATGTTTAAATTAACTAGAAATGTGGTAGGAGAAAGAGGCATATATGCTTGAGGCTTCAGTATAAAGATCCTCTTCATTTTTGTTCTGCTTTTTAAATTTACAGCATTCTATCAAATCTGTAATATATCGTTCTATTTAAAATATATTATCTCTTTTTTCAGGTAGTAGAGATGATATCAAGTGCCATTGGTGAATTAGTACAAGGAATATATTATGAAAATTCAAACTTAGTAGAGGTAAGTCTCCGTATTTTTAAAAAACTGTTCTCAGGAGTGCTCAAAATGGGCCTCTTCCTCCTTCCATTTAAGAAATTAGGATAAATTAAACTAAAACAGGCATTGTTATAATGTTGCACTTACCGGGTTCTACCATTTCAGTCAGTAGGAAGAGGAATGAATATTTGAATGCTTTAATATGTAAAGTAGGTTTTTATCTTTTCCCTAACTTACTTTGTATTTGTAAATACTGTGGAGAAGAAATCCATCTGTTTGATTCTACCACTTGTAGAAGTAGCCTAGAAATAGCTGAAGAATATGAAACTATAGATTATTTGTTCAGTAAATTGTCTAATTTTTATTCTTATAGGTTTGAGACCATTTGTACCCCTTCTGTTATAACTGAGGAAACTAGAAAAACATGTACTTAATGTGCTAGAGATCAAAATTATGTGCAAATGTATTAGTTATTCAACATATCTATACATGTTTACCAAATAACTTTTTTTCCCAATTCCTTATGAAAAAGTATAGAAGGTGAAAAAGCACTATTTTGTTTATTTTCAAAGAAGATAAATTACCCATTTCTATCAGGATCACCAGAAATGATATTTGGCATCTGTTGCATCCCACAGACAGAAAAAGCCCTCGACAAACTTCAATTTTAAAAACAATTTTTCTCCAGTTATAATCCTCCTTTTGACTTTGGAAAAACTCCTTTTCAGCATAGTTGTCATTTTGGGGGGGCAAACTTGCTAACTTGGCTTTTGCGATCATCTGCAGTTATATGCAAACAAACTGCACACTTACCAATGGCAGTTTTAAATTAAGAAACTGTTGATGACCAGCTCTCTGGCAATGGAAATATCTTTGCAAAATATGTTGTGTATGTTTTTCCATGGTACTTCTGTGGTACAGTGTTAATTGCCCCTTTCAAAAGATTTAATAAACTGTTCAGATTTGATAATCAAATTCAGCACTATGCTTAAAGTATGTGAGACACCTTTTCACCTGTGGAATATGTTTATCATGGCCCTACCAAAGTGCTTCACGCCATATGAGAACATTATAATTGGTGTACAATTAAGATAAATAGGCCACCCACACTCCCAAAGTATGGCATGCAGTTCTGTCTTATGTGATATTAAGAAGCATATATTTGTTAGGCAGGCAAGTTGGGGAGGGTGGCGAGAATGTACTCCAGCAGCTTGAAACCTAAGCCTGGCAGTGGCTGGAAACCAATATCACATTTACAGAGTGCTGGACAGAATATGTCAATTGTTAACTTTTCACTTGTATGTCACTTACAGAGGATTAGCTGAGGAGAACCAAGGTCTTCGCTGGTACATTGAAATACAAAGAAAGTAGACATTTCCTCAAACATCTTTGCCCATGAATGTTCTGAGATTACAACTGCATGCTTCTTTATTTTCACAATTTATTTAACATTTATGCATTATATATTCCAGAATGATAGTACATTGGTTCTCCTTTTTTTAACATGTAGTTAAAGAAATCACATGTAGCGATACAGGAATCTCAGAAAAAGATTGTACCATATTTTTGCTCCATAAGACACACCTTGATACAGGAATCTCAGACGAGGATTGTACCATATTTTTTGCTCCATAAGACGCACCTCGCCATAAGACACACCTCATTTTTAGGGGAGGAAAACAGGAAAAAAAATATTCTGGCAAATTCATAAGGCAGTAGCAATAGACAGATGTTGTCACATCAGTTACCTCAAACTTCTTGCAGTATACAACACAGTGAGAGCTTTTGAACAATTTGTATTTGGCAAAGTTATTCCAATAGCCACAGACAGCAACACTACAATGCTTTATATCAACCACCTATTCTTTCTTGCTACTAATACAGTTTTGGGACTGGTGTATTCTCAAGCATGTCATTTCACAAGTCATACATGTACCAGAAGTGGAGAATCATGAAGCAGACTTCTACAGCAGGATGACAGATTGTTGCTGGGTAGTCAATAAGAGCTATGATGAAGAAATCACCACCAGCACATGTGTAAGCAAACAGCAAAGCATGTCTCACTTCCACTCCCTCCCTCCCTTACAGCAATAAGGTTTTTTCTCTCTCCATCATTCAGTTCTTTACTTTGCAGCATGTCCACAGAAAGTGTGATTACTTTTATCAGCTTTTTGCAGCTGATCCTCCTGTTTCCTCCACTCTCTAATCATTTTTTCAGATGAGGAGGCCCAAAATGTCTCTCCGCTGTTCTGTTTCCATACTCCTTAGCATATTTTACTACCTCTAGTTTAAAAGGAATGTTATATGCTAGCCTTTTCTGTTTTATCATCCTTGCACTGGTAGAATGAGTTCCCATAATCTGCAAGAAAAATGTGCCCCTTATTCATCACCACATCTACTGCCTGCTTCCTTTTATAAATATAATCTCAAAGCAGCACAGAATCATAGAATAATGGAGTTGGAAGGGGCCTATAAGGCCATCAATTCCAACCCCT